GAAAGGAAGAATTCCCTATTTACTTTCCTAAGTATTCTCCATAAAATTTTTAGAAACTTAGGTCACATCAAGAATGAGAATGGTCATCCTGGCTATTCATTAGATGGGAAGAGACTTCTACACTATGGGAGGTTTGTGCTGCCACCAACCTAAATTCATATTTCATACTTTCCATTGGAGTTTTATGGTAGCACTATTAGGGGTCACTCAGGTGTATAGAAGGCATACATGAGATTGGCTGCTTAACTATATTAGAAGGGAATGCACAAGGATGTAGAGGAGATAGTGACCAGATGTGAGGTTTGCTAGAGGAATAATTATATGTCTATGGCTCCAGGGGGGCTATTATAACCTTTAGCACTTCCAGGCAGAGTGTGGGAAGAGGTTTATGTAGATTTCATAGACGGGCTACCATGATCGGAGGGGTTTACAGTAATTCTAGTGATGGTGAGACGACTAAATTAACATACTCATTTCATTCTTTTATGACATCCTTACATGGCAGTAATAATTCCATTACCTTTCATTAAAGAGGTGGTCATATTACACGGGATACCAGAAACAATAGTATCTGATCGAAACAAGGTATTCCTCAGTCATTTTTGGAGGGAGTTGTTCATGTTGTAAGGGACTGTACTAGGAGCTTGGAAACATATTTGCGATGCTTTATTTCAGAAACACCTCGGTTGTGGGCTAAGTGGTCGGCGTAGGCAGAGTACTAGTATAACACTTCGTACACTTTAAGTCAACTGCAGGCTATAAAACGTCCTGATTGCCGTAACTCAGCTCCTCGACAATGCAATCTAGAGAAGCGTTATTGTGCCTCAATCTGAGAGTAAAGACCCATTCTAAAGGATCATTGCCAATTGGAAGATCCGAATCAACTAAAAAAATACGAGGTAATCAAGTGAATAGGCTGTCATACATTTCTATCAATCAACACCTCTCTATGCCAATATAGTCAATTTGAAATCAAAGCTGACTACGAAAGATAGCATGCATCGATCTCTTTCCAAATATCTTCTTTTGAAGGCTCAATACAAGATAATGATGGAGGGAGTACTCCAATCAAACATCTTGGTATGAAAAGACAAAAGAAGAACAATCAAAACCATATACTCAATGCTTGCAACGAATCCTTGCGTGAAAATCACCCAAGAATTTCGTTGGGAGGAAATTTGTTGACAAAAAAAAAAAGAGACGGCGAAAATTAAAAAAAAAGTTTTGAATTGAAGATATACATCTCTTCATAGAATATCCTCAAACTGGTCCCACTGTCAACAATGGATTGTCAATTGATGCATCTCTTCGACATAATAACCGGCTTTAACAATCCAAAACGACAAAAGGAAGAAAATAATCTGAAAACACAAAAACTTACTGCTGAAGCCCCCTAGTCGCTCACTCACGACCTCCGATCATGACTTGAGGCTTTATCTCCCGCACAATCCAACTGTGTCACCTCCACTCGTGTTCTCACAGAGCCGGACCCAAACGTTTGATTGTCTGCTTAGTCAGACACCCCATGCTAGGCTGAAACCCCACCTATCTTTATCTTTCGTGCGAGCGAACCCACGTGAACCTAACACCTGTGGCGATTGTTATTGGACGGTAGCCGAGATCATGTTCATCCGCACCTTACACAGCATGCCGGAACCCCAACTCTTGTGTTGCTTTGTTCATTTGAACGAGTCGAACCCACAGACTGTCTGAATCCCCTACCACACGCACTACCCATCGGCTTGCCTTCGTTCGTCCAAACACGCCCCAGCCTTCGTCTATCGGCTCACCTCTAGGCTTGCACAGACGCTTCTGCCCTTGCTTCACATCTAATTGCTGGCTTGTTCTCCGCATCCGACTTCAAGCTCGTAAGCTATCTTCCATCCGAACTCCCTCTGTCTGACCTATTCGCGTGCTAGTGCAATTAGGAGGCCTATCATGTAATACAAGATAATGGCTTGTTCTCATTTAGAGGAAATAAAATGGAACTATCCGTCAGTACCGCATGCATACAGAGAACTACTCCAGTTAATAGTATTAATTTAAGCAATTAAGTGAATTTTAATGCAATTAAATCAATTTCTTTTGGCAATTACAAAGCAGCAGATATTCACCGATTTAAAAACACACGCTGTGATTTTTAGTTTGGGCGAATTATTTCAATTTTTGAAGACCTCGCAAAGTTGAATCTTTGATCCCGATGAGTTGAATTTTAAAATTTGAAGACCCTGCATGGTTGATCGTTGATTCGGGAAGGAAGAATTAATGGCAAATGCCATCTCGACCTCCCCTAGGGGAGGGGACGCCGGGAGGCTGCCAAAATTGTCTCACAAAACTAGAGGGCAATTCAATTTGAATATTAATTAATTAATTCAATTAAAATGTTAAAATTGATTTTAAATATTAATAAACTAATTTAATAAATTTATATTTAATATAATTACCCTCTATAAAGCTCTCAAATTGATATTAAAATGTGTATTTCCACTAATTAAGATACACAATTCATACCAACACCTCTCTCTAAACTCTCCAAACACTCACAGATCCCTCAACAAAGCATGAATAATTAAGTTGTAAGATCCACTTTCAGGCAACTTCCTAAGAGAAGTCATAAGACCTATCTCAAATTCAAACAAAAATGAAGGGGCAGTTTAGGCTATAGGGCTAAATTGTAAGACCTATCAATAGGGCTACTTTTATAGGAAAATAGTAAGACCTATCTTACCCAAATAACTAAGCAACTTATAATAGGAGTAGTAAGACCTATTATTTTGAAAATTTTCTAAATGAAATATCAAACCCTCAAACAAAAATTAACTACCACTTTAATCTAAATGATTAGGTTATAAGACCCGCTTTTAGGCAACTTCCAAATGGAAGAATAAGACCTACCTAAATAATTAAATCCACGGGCAGCCTTGCTATAGAGTTAGCTTGCAAGACCCATCTTTGGGCAAATCATAAGTATAACTGTATGTCCCACTCCAAATTAAACTTATAAGGCTAGGTTGTAAGACCCGCCAACGGGTAACTTCCAAGTGAAGTAGTAAGACCCGCACGTGAGGAAAATTGCTAAATAAATTGCAAGACCCTAAAACCCAAACAAGTAAAATTAATAGGCAGCCTTATTGTAGAGCTAGGTTGTAAGGTCCATCAATAGGCTACTTCTAATAGAAGCTGTAAGATCCGCTTTACGGGCTACTTTCAATGAAAGCCATAAGTTCCAACCCAAATTCAAACACCCGAGCTACTTCCATAAGAAGTCGTAAGACTCATTTCAATTCAAACTTCTAGGTAACTTCTAAATGAAGTTATAAATCCCAAACCAAATTAACTTCTGGGTGTTCTAATATATCTAAACCCCAAACCAACTTTTTTAAAAATTACAACCCCAAAATCTAATAAGAAGTCGTAAGACTCATTTCATTTCAATTCAAACTCAGTCTACTCGGGATCCTCAAGAGGATGCAATCCATGGCTGCCAATCAAATTTCCTGAACACTACGGTCAATGATTGTTAATGTTGCCATGTTGGTAGACTAAAGCCTAAGGTATACCCGAGACAACGAAACCATGGGATCTTGATCAGGTTAACCTCCATTTCCCCTACAATTGAGACTAAATTACTTAAAAAATTTACTTATCCTTAATCGAGATTTCTTTTTTACTCGTTAAGATGGATAATTAATTATGAGTGTTTGCGCTGCTCATGGGAAGGACCCAGATCTAACTAAACCCTGACATTACCTTCAAGGAAAATCTGGTTAACTATAATCTGACTTAAGGAGAATAGAATACTACAGTTGCAAAGCAGTATTCATAACGACACATCGTTTTCTTAAACCAACAATGGTACTTTGGCACTTTCGAGATAGTGGAGAGGACCGAAGGAGTGGTGTATCGACTAAAGCTATCTCTGACCACGACCATACACACGGTATTCCACATGTCACAGTTGAGGAGAGCTATAGGGAACCACACCTCCACTGCAGAGTTAACAGCAACGCTAACAAAGGATTTCAAGGGAGTTTTGAAACCACTGGAGTTGATAGGAGTATGACAGGAGAAGTAAGGAAATGTTGATTAAGTGAAAAGACCTACCAGTGCACGATGCCACTTGGGAGCCGTATGAGTGGGTAAAGTATCAATTTCTGTCCTTCCACCTTGAGGACAAGATGGTTCTTTGGGAATGAAGTAATGTCAGACCGATGCAAGGTGGACCGGTCCAGCTGGCCTTAAACGGGACGGCACCTGGTCTATGCCAGGTAGACCAGGAAGCCATTGGCCCCCTTTGTGGGGCCCATGAATTAAAAGAAATTTTCAAATAGGAGAGGGAGGAATTATGAGCGAAATTAATTTAATAAGGTCTATTTAGTAATTATGCATTTTACTTTGTATTCTCTAAATAAGGGGGAAGAGTTAGGATTAGGGTTATGTTGTTGTTTTGCTGAATTCAGAAGTCTCTAGGTTGTGCTTTGGCTCAGCCATCGGCTCGATATTGGGAGAGCCAAATCTTCCTCTCGAATTAAAGATCCATTGTATTTTGCTTGTTTTCTTCCATTTTTTCTTCTATTATTAAGCTTCCTACTGATTTTCTAAGGAATTTTCTTCAGTTCTTGCATTGTTCTTGCTAAAATCTCTAATTTCAGCCATCAATGTGGTAATTTCTGCACTTGTTTCCTAACAGAAATATACACAAATTTAAAGTATATTAGAGATTGTGAAATGTTACTATGCAATCATTCCCCCCCCCGTTTTTAGATGTTTTTATCAACACTTCCCCCCCCCCCCCCCCCCAAAAAAAAAATGTCATGTCCATCCATTCTGGCCTCAATACTGCAACCTCTGCGTCGATTCTCACAACAAAAAAAACCTATTTTATTACAATAAGAAATATTTGATATTTTAAAGGAGAAAAACGTTTTACAAGGTATTCCTAAGTACAAAAATTTAATATAGCAGGAAACAGATTATATGCCATATGATAAGGAACATACGGATTAGTTACAATGCTATGGTTTCCATCTGAATTCTCCAGAAACTGTCCAACAGGATCCTGATCAAAAATATACTTCAAGAATAGTACAACAAGTTCACTGTAAGAACGAAAGAGCCAACATTACAAGTATATAAAACAATTCCTAACGGCCAACAATATATAAAAAAACCATGTAACATAAACCTATTGGGTTGCTGAATTTGATCGGTTGGTTCGGGCATAAGTATCTTTATACACTTCAATACCCAATTGAAGAAATTTTGAAACTGGAAGAAAAGGAGAAATGTTAGTCAACAATTAAATAACATCCTTAACAAATCATACACCCGACCTTACCTTGCCCATTAAAAAATTACTTGTTCTATTGCAAAATTTAGAAAACTACGCGCCTAACAAGATTCCTCATTTAGGTAATCATTAACAAGGTGTTATTAAGAAAATCACTATTGCATCCTATTATGCTAAAAGAATGGCAGCCAATCTGTACAGCTATTAGTTCATAATTTGTGAGTTCCACCTTTAGACTATAAAAAAGATTACAGGAGAGAACAAAAATTTTTGTTCCGACTTTCCCTATCTTATCCCCTAAAAGCTAATAAATTAAGGCATCTGCTATAAGCATGAAGCATGAACTCATCTAAATAACATTCGCGTCTGTGTTTGACAAATATCAGATATGGACATGGCATAGACACGACCCGACAAGTGTTTCAACACAACAAATTTTTTGTCGAATTAATTTCACGCTAAAATTAGGTTCGGCCACGGTTAAAAAAATAAAGAAGAAGAATAAGAAAATTAACATGCTCACTTTTGAGCTCCTCGCTTCCCCTTCTCCTCCATATTGAGAAGTTCAAGCATCCTTGTTACACTCGCATGGAACAAAATACACCCATAACCCAATCTCACTGCTTAACTCCTTCACTCTCTCATCCACATCAGAACCATAGCCTTTCACCAATCTTGCCTAAAATCCAATCTCAATGTTAACAAAGATATCCCATCTCTCACAATCCCACATTTTGTTATTAAAGGTCAACTTTTATATCTCGATCCAATAATCTTGCACCAGTCTCACTTAAAATAATCTAAATTCATCATAACAAAACATTTCCATCAGTTAGAAACCCACATTCCACCTTTATAGATGAGCCTAGACTTCTTTATTGTCCTTCACCAACTTTCAAAACCCTCCCCCCCCCCCCCCCCCCCGCCCCCCCCCCCCCCCCCCACACACACACAAAAAATGTGATGATGCACATTTCCGTTTTGAGAAACAACTGTGAAAGCAGTTATCCACTCTAAATAAAGATTTCCGAACACCGAGATCTCCCAACTGGAATCTAAAGGCCACTTTCTCACAGGGAATCCAGCCTATGCAGTAGGTATCACAATACCATCATTACATCCATCTCCATATAGTTATTCACAATGAAGTCAGTCCAAAAGCGAAAAAACCAAGCATTGCGACTAGGAAGAAGAGGGAGAGATTGATGATGAGTGGAGTGATCAAACACTAATCTCATTGCAGCGAGTGCACCTCTCATTTCCTTTTTGGACTAATTCTTCTATGTTCACCAGCAATGGGAAAAGACTTTTATCCAATGACTATTGCAGAAAAGCAATACGGCAGCAGCTCATCAACAGGTTGATGCACTGTCCTCAAACCTTGTCAAATGTGCATGCATGCATAATAGAAAGAAATACCTTTATTAATATGCATTAATATTATCTTACATGAACTCCTAATGCCTTAACATATAATTATTCCTTAATTAAACAGTAATTTGTTCACATTAAAGCTTTAAATACTCATCTTCTATTATAATGAAATGGGAATTATTCTTCTTCCAACATAACTTCTTTAAATATAACGTAAGAATTCATATATGTCTTCCTGATATATTAATTTTAGTTTTTCATATGTTTTATTTATAGTTTACTATTCATATAGCTCTCTTAACGACCAGTTATTTTTCCCTAAAGTTTTTTTTTTGGTTTTTTTATAAATACATATATAAATTTTAAATGGTTAATTTAATAAAAAAAGGTCAAAAATGAATTAAAAAAGAAAACTAAATAATAATGGTTTATATTTAAATGATATCATACTATAAATTAAATTAAACTAAATAGTTCATTTTAGTTTAACGTCTCTTTTTAAGTTTTCTTTTTTTATAAATCTATATAAATTTTGATTAAACTACATATTTAATTAAGCTGACAGTTCTTTTTACAAAAAAATAGGAATCAAGTCCTCGTCTTTTTTTCTCTTTTTTATTTAATTAAACTAAAATTATAATGGTTAATTTTTAAATAATATCAGTTTAAAGAAAAACTAACCAATCCTTAGCAAAGCTACCGACTGAATTTTTTTTAATTTATTTTTATATTATATATATATATATATATATATATTCAAATCAAACTATATATTTATAAATCATACTTTAAATTAAATAAAACTAAAAAAGTAAACAGTCATTCACAGCTCATGATTTGATGTGTTTTCGATCCACAAACTCAGCCCGACAGCTCGCCCAACAAATCAGTCAGCTCAATAGCTAGCCGTTGCCTAGTATCGATTGATATCATTTTTAAATTTATTTATTTTTAATTCATTTTGACGAAAATAATTTTTAAATGATATCATTTTAAAACTTTGTCCCAGTGAAAATTATCTGCAATAAAAAATCGGAAATTGTATTTTAGGTAGCGAGGGAATAAGGAATTTAAAGCACATTTGATAAGAACAGTTTTATTTGTTCACGGTAAGACTAGGGAATTGAATCAAAAAAGCAGTAGCCAATACAGTCTAAAATGAAGCACGTGAATTCATAAATGCATATATTTATATCTGCATCAATGTCTCTCACAAATGCAACTATATGCCAGAATGAATACGTAAAACAAGACATTTTCAGAGGCTAGAATGGTGAAATTTATGCAATCATGACGCATACCAGTTGGATCACTACTGTAAGAACCCTTGCAAACCGTTCAACCTGCACAAGGAACATTCCAGTCTTTTCTGTTGCAGTTTCAATAAGCCTTTCATCCAGTCCGATATTCTTGAACCGCGAATGCCATCTTGAGAGGCCTCTGAGTTCTCCAACTCTGAATCCCATTGTCTCCACAGCAGGCTATTAGAAGGAAGATAGTCTCAGAGTGCAAGTATTATTAAGCAAAAACTAATACAAACTGAAAAAAAGCAATGACTGTGATTGATGGAATTCAGATAATAACAAAATATCACAACATCTGAAACATCTTAGAAGTGCCTAGCAGTGCAGCAACTGCACAGCTGGTTCACTAGCCGAGAAAATAAAAAATCAAAATAAAATGCATTTAAATGGGCGGGTTAATCTACATAAAATAATAAAAAAAAAACAAAAGATAAATGTAGATAAACTTCTGAAAACCGATATTTGCCCTCCCTCCCTCCCCTCACATGTAATTTGAGGCGGGTTAATCAGTTAGCAAAATAATAATAAAAAAAAAGAACAAAAAGGTGATGGGGTTGATTAAATCAAACCTAAACTCAAGCCTAAAGCACATCCCGATTAAGAGACCTTGAATTTAAATCCCACAAAATCCCCCAACCATCAATTGGTCGGGCAAGGGATGTGGATGAGAAAGAAAATGCTATATGTTATGATTATTTATAGTAGGTTTATCCAAATTAGAGGAGAAGGTTACCAAGATATAAGGTTTATATCATCCAAAAACTTGTAATTCATACACTATTAGAAAAAAGGTCATATCAATTATCATATTCATCATATGTATGACTGTCTATAAACAGTAACATGCATTATAGGGTTCCATACATCCAATAATTCAAGCAATAAGATGAATCAGGGTAAATTGAGTCTCTCCCACTCCATCTAGCTGGCTAACCCTACGCCAACTTGCAATTCTCAGCCACTACAGGTATCTCTATTGCAACCACTCCTTGTCATCTATATCTCTCTAATCTCTACCTACTTAAACGGATAGAAGAAATAAATTTGGCTGTAAATGAGAAAAAGATGAGAACCATTCAAGAGGTCTGATATGAGTCAAGTATATCACCTCTCACTTCTCCACAATCTCATTCAACAATGGTCTAACTAATGATGCCAATAATGATGGCACAAACTCAATCTATAGTGATAATGACCGTACAAACTCTCCAAATGTAATGATCTAAAGTAGTGCCTTTCTCAGGAGAAGATCACAACTGATGTATGGCAGGAATATCAACAAAAGCTTCAAGAAACACTATCTCAAGCATTTCAACAAAAATAAGCTCTTTCTTAATCTTTTATAATATTTGAAATTCTATCTCAAGCATAATGGAACATAGATATTGTTAAAACCGAGAATTTGAGAGGGAAAAACTTGTCTTTATTCATTACAATCTTTTCTATTTATAGATATATACAAGAAATCCTAATGAGGAAATAATAAAATACATAAAATTTCTAATAAAATATTTCCTAAATTCGTTCCTTCATTATGGCGTGATCCATGAGAGCATTCCACGGATTGATCTTTGTGTCCGTCGGATCTTTTGCACTGGGAACGGCTAGATTTCAATACTCCCCCTCAAGCTGGGAAATATGGATTTGTCATCCCCAGCTTGTCAATCATTCTGAGAAAGGCAGAACTGTCCAATCCTTTAGTAAGGATATCTGCAAGTTGATCTTTTGATGATACATGGTCGACACTTACTAGACCATTGTCTAGTTTTTTTTTCTTTAATAAAATGTAAGTCCACTTCTATGTGCTTGGCCCTGTCGTGCTGGACTGGATTGTAGGCTATGTTGATTGCTGATTTATTGTCACAATGTAGCTTCATGGGCTCATCCCACTTAACCATCAAGTCTTCTAGGATTATTTTGATCCATATTAGCTCACATATTCCCAATGTCATAGCTCGATAATCTGCTTCTGCACTGGATCTTGCCACCACATTTTGTTTCTTACTTCTCCATGTAACTAAGTTACCTCCAAGAAATGTGCAATACCCAGAGGTAGATCTTCTATCAACCGGTGATCCTGCATAGTCAGCATCCGTGTATACTTCTAGGGTTATTCCACGATCTCTCTTAAAGAGAATCCCTTTTCCCGGTCTTCCTTTAAGGTAGTGCAATATCCTGTCTACCGCTTGCATGTGAATCTGCTTTGGATTCTACATAAACTGACTGACCATTCTTACAGCAAATGCTATGTCTGGTCTAGTGTGGGAGAGGTAGATCAATTTCCCTACAAGTCTCTTGTAGGCCTATTTATATACATCTGGATCTTCTCTAGCTTCCTCCAGTTTAAGATTAGGTTCTACTGGTGTCGATGCTGGTTTACAAGCTAGTTTACCTGTTTCTTTTAGAAGATATTTGATATATTTCTGTTGTGAAATGAAGATTCCTTTGCTGGAGTTAGCTACTTCAATTCCGAAAAAGTATTTTAGTCTACCAAGTTCTTTGATGTCAAATTCCTTAGTAAGACTTTTCCGTAAATTGACTTTCTCCTCTTCATTATATCCAGCCAAAATAATATCATCAACATACACTAATAATATTGTGACTCCCCCTGAGTTTGAGTGTTTAAAAAATAATGTATGATCACCTTGACTCTGTCAATACCCATTCAGGAGCATGAATTTAGAGAATCTTCCGAACCAGGCCCTTGGTGATTGTTTGAGCCCATATAGAGCATTTTTCAGTCTACACACCCTGTTACTTTCAGATTTTTCTTTAAACCCTTGTGGTATTTCCATAAATATCTCTTCCTCTAAATCCCCATGCAAGAATGGAATTTTCACATCCAATTGTTCCAGATGCCAATTGTACTTGGCTGTTAGTGAGAGTAGTATTCGGACAGTATTCATTTTGGCTACAAGCGCAAACGTTTCTTGGTAGTCAATGCTATATGTTTGAGTGAACCCTTTTGCCACCAGTCTTGCCTTATATCTCTCTAGTGTACCATCAGCTTTGTATTTTATTGAGAACACCCATTTGCAGCCAACCGATTTTTTTCCTATCGGTAGATTGACGATCTCCCATGTTTTGTTCTTTTCCAGGACCTGCATTTCATCCTTCATGGCATTTTTCTAATTTTTATCAGATAAGGCCTCAAAAACAAGGAAATCTTTGTGTGATGATGAGAAGTTGTTGAAGGATATAGAGTTGTTTATAGGGTATAAAGGAGGTGGTGAGCTTACCTTATTTCCAGGAGATGGTTCAAATTCTTGGATCTGCTTTGGAGCACAGCTTGAGCTTGTACGTCTGGAGTAAACCTTTCCAAATCTAATGATAGCTTTTTCATTTGTTTCCCCATCTTAGATTTCAAGTGGATTGTTTTGAGATGGTGGAGGAAGGTCAAGAGGTGCTAGTTCAGTTTCCTCATCTTCCTCAAATTCAGTCTCCCCATGAAGATGAGGTTTTGAAAAATAGAATTTTTGCTCATCAAAGGTAACATCAATAGAGAAGGATTTTTCTTGTGGGTGGATGATAACACTTATAACCTTTTTGGGTAGATGAATAGCCAACAAAGATGCATTTGAGTGCTATTGGAACTAATTTCCTCTCTTCTGGCTGTGAATATGAACATAGGCAGTGCATCCAAAGATTTTGGACGCAAGATTATGATGGGTTCGAAACTCTGGGTAAAAAGAGGACAAAGTCTCCATTGGAGTTTTTAGTCCTAAGGCTGTTGAAGGTAATCGGTTTATGAGATAAGCTGCAGTTAAAAGAGTTTCCCCCCAATAGGATTTGGGTGTATTGTAGTGAAATAGAAAGGCTCGGGCGGAGGCTAGAAGGTGACCATTTTTCCTCTCTGCAACCCCATTTTGTTGTGGGGTGTGAACACATAGGACTCATGGATGATCCCTTCACTCTGGAAGTAGGAGGAAAGGGTTTGGTTGAAATAATCTTTGGCATTATCGGAGCGGAATCTCCTTATTTTTACCCCGAACTAATTTTTGATCGTGGTATGAAAGATGGGAAGAATGGAACTAATATCATATTTATTTTTAAGGAGATAGATTCAAGAGACTCTAGTGCAATCATCAATGAATGACACAACCAGCGTGCCCCAGAGATATTGGGGATTTTTTAGAGTCCTCATATATCACTATGAATAAGGTAGAAAGGAGTGTCACATCTCTCACTTTTGTTTGGGAATGAGGTTCTTTTATGTTTAGCCAACTTACAGGTTTCACAATGAAAATTTTTATTTTCTAATTTCTGAAAAAATTGTGGATACATATGTCTTAAGACATCAAAAGATGGATGTCCTAATCTATAATGATGAAGCCAAATAGTGGAATTCCTATCGACTAGGGATAACATAGAGCATCTATTTTTAGATTGGTTTGGTTCTTCCAGGTAGTACAATCCTGCTCTCTCCTTAGCAAGTCCAATCTTCCTCTCTGATCTCTAGTCCTGAAATAAGCAATAAGTAGTGTTAAATAAGTCTTGACAATTATAATCATTGGTAAGTTTTTGTATTGATATTAGATTTGTGGATAATTGTGGTACGTGGAGGACATTTTTCAGGGTGAGTGAGGGAGATAATATTATGTCTCCTTGGCCAGCTACCGTAGTAAGAGAACCATCAGCAGTGATGATTTTCTTGTTGTTTGGGCAAGGAGTATAGTTTATGAGGTGGGTAGGTGAGTGAGTCATGTGATCTGTGGCTCCTGAATCAATGATCCATAATTCATTTAGATGATTTCTGGAAGCATTTAAACTAATAGAGATTGGAGTCTTACCTGAGAGTGCAAGTGAAGAAGAAGCATTTGGATTTTCAATAGATACCAGGAGTCGTTTCAATTTATCAATATCTTCTTTATTGAATTCTCCAAGTCTGGACTGTGCTTCTAGCTTACTTGTAGTGTTGTTGGCATGTGATGTACTCCTTGTTTCACCCTTTTGATTCCACTCCTTGCTAGTGGGTTTCATGTATTTTCCAGCACATCTCCTTTGCGTGTCTTGACTTTTTGCAATAGCTGCACCAAAGTGAGTCATTGTCTTTGAATTTTGAAGAATCTTTACCCTTCTCCTTCCATGACGATTCTTTGTTCATCACCATTGCTGAGCTTTCAATGGCCTTCGGTTCTAACATCACTCCTCGTCTGCTTTCTTTTGCACGAATGAGA